CCTAACCTTTAATTAATTTTTCTTTTCTTGATTTCACTGCCATTATATTCCACTCCAATTTGTTTTCTGCAATGTACCATAGCCACTGGGTGCAAAAGTTTTAGTAACGAACTAGACAATCCATAAAACCCTTGCTTACAAAATCAGTTCATTATACAAAATTATGAGGTAACAATATTATCAATTTTATTATTAATTACATGTATTTTAATTTGTATTTGCAAAACAAGTTATTGTAATAATTATTACTAGCAGGACCTGTGAAATGTTGTATAAACAATAAACTTTTTTAACATACAAAACTCATGGGCTTGGAAAATAAATAACGCATAGAGATATTTGGGAGTGTCCGCCAGGTGTGCAAAAATTGTTAATTCCAATCAGTCTGTGGTACTCTCCCCTCCCAATATAGGGCTATGCTAGTTTCCTCCAATATGATTACAGAAAACAATAGAACTATATATGTACAAAACTGTATGATACATGGCACATATAGTTTCCTCTTTTGAAAGATATTCATTTATATATATATTATCTGTATATAAACCAAGGACATAATATACCTAATGTAATCAAGGGTTTCCAGAATTTCTGAAAACACTCCATTTCTTCATTGTCTGCCAAGAGGGACTGACTTGTTCTTAGTAACAGTTTGCTCTCTTCTTTCTTTTCTTTCTGTCTCCATCACCTTAACCCTTACATCTGAGAGTTTTCGATATCTAGAATATGTCACATACAATTGCTCATGACACATACAATTGCTCATGACTGAATTCTGGCTTTGGCATTTTGAAATACCTGACACAAAATTTGAGTTCAGAAATTCAAGTGGGTAGTGCCGTGACCGCCGATAGATATCAGTGGTCACGGTAGTGCTCTGCCTCAACAGGATCATCTGTCAAATCTTTATCTGAACTATAATAGGTGCAGCAGTCACCTGGAAGTTGTTACTTAGATCAGTTGAAGAAGTAAAATAAAATCATATTATTGAAACATGAAAGCTTTTGTGTAGCAATTTCAAAAAGGTTTTATTATGTCTTATAATAATAATAATAATAATAATAATATATTGGTCTACTTTGTATAGATCACTTTTTTTTTTTCTTTCTTTTTTACTATTTTTAAGTAAATACTATGAGCAGTGGAATTTTACTCTGTTTTTTGTTTTTCTCATTTAGAGATTTTAAATATATAATCTTGGATGTTCAATTGATCTTTACTCAGTTTTATTTTTAATATTCTCAAAGTATTAAATATGAACAAGAAAATACTGAGGAACATGATTTTTCATTATATAAGCACAATATAATTTCAATATAATGGCCATTTTTTTTTTTTTTTCTCTCTAAGTCCTAGGTAAAGTAGTTGTAGTGGTAACAACAATAACACCACAAATAATAATGCACTAATAGCTTCCAAAATGATAAACATTATTGTGTACACACACACACACTATTGTAAAAAAAAAAAATCAAAGCAGATTTATTTTCTTAATTTTAAGTACATAATTTTAATTTTAGCTGCATTTCATCACAACTAATCTGATCTGCAATCCATTTAACAACCAATGGCCTTAGTTGTAGTGATTAAAATAAAAAATATTTAAAAAATGAATCGTTAACAGTGCTGCATTTAACATTTAGCCCTCTGCATCATTTATAAATATTCCTTCCCCTTTTACTGTATATGGAATCCCATCAAAATATAGTGTTTTATATATTAGTTCTATATATTTGAAATTGCACTAGCCTGGCTCTCAATTTCAGTCAAGAGTGTTATAGATGTTGCCATAGGATATGACTACAGAACTAAGAAATTCAAATTCAACTTGCATTGGTAGGACTAACATTTTGCTTGGCGAAAATAGTCACCTAAAGTGTTAAAGGTTAATGAAAGATTCTCTATAAAATGGTTTCTTATTTTTTTTCTTGAAGTCTTCAATAACTTTAAAAGCGTTTTTCCTCTCTCCTTTTATAAATGTTTCTTCTTGAAAACTTTCTGTTGACACTATTTCCTGTCCCACAACATATCCTCTTCCACTTAAGTTGCCAAATAGCTTTTCCTTAAGTTTCATCAATCAAAACAACTCTAAAATAATTTCAAAGTGAGAAATGATGGATAGTATTTTGTGTTATAGAGATAATACCTAAATTTTTACATTTCTGAAGAGTCAGAAGTAATTGCTTTGATCCTATTTCAGATAACTTTTTCTAATATTAAACTTCAAACACTTTGAATTGGTTGGAAGGTTTCAATTTTTTTAATTTCCATTATAATTAAATTTAAGTGCATTTAAAGTAAGATTTGCTAAAAAATGAGCATACATGAGGAAACAATGCCCTAAACTTAATAAAAACAAAGTTTTATCATCATAATCTTAAGAAAAAAAAACAAAGGGTTTTTTAATTATTAAATTATATTTTATCCTTTGTAGAACCTTCAAAATTTTGTTAAATTGTTTTTCTTGTGACAGCATGTGACCAAAGCTTGGTATAGGAAGTTTAGTGTCTCTTTGTGGTGTTTTTATAGATTTGGAAATTCTTGCAAAAATCAAATAATTGTCAGATTTTAATAACATTTTCAGGACTTATTCACAAATGAATTAAATTATTTTAGAAATGTTACTTGTTTGTTTGTTTTTGTTTTTTTTTTGTGGGGGGGGTACACTCACTTATTTAATTTTATGAAATTTTGAGAAATTCATTTTTGTACCCCTTAATGTTTATATTAGTTATATGTAGAACTCTTTGGAGAATTTAAATTTGAAAATCTTCTGAATCATAAAATAAAAGATGCAATAAAAAAGACATTAAAGACATTATTTAATTAGAAAATTGGCAATATATAAACTACTTTTTGCTCAATATCTTTTCATGTTAAGTATTTTATGTGTTTAATATAATGGTGACTCAAAATGGAAGCATCTCAAGACAGAAAAAGAAAGACAGTGACAACAAAGCCCATCTCAAAACTGAAGCAAGTTGATAACTTAGACAAAAGTATCTGAGTGCCTTGCAAGAAAGATTGCAATCAAAGAAGTGTAGTAATAATGGAACAGATTAATTAAACAATACATTTTACTTGAACTAATTTTCTAAGTTATTTTATTTGTATAGACAATGTCAAATACGCACTCATAAATTTACTACTTTAAGTTAATTTACCTCCCTTCCCTCACAGGAATATGATTGGCTGGTGTCAGCCATAAATGCAGGCTGATGTACAGGTAGATGCCCATTGGACTACGCCATTGGCTATCCTATTGGTCTACACCTATTGACTACGACGAGTACCAGTTCCATTACTGCTACCTGCTAGATTGTTCTACTCGGTTACAGTAGCCTATACGCAGATAGGGTTGTAATGTCGGTTACTCTACAAAACAAAATTCTGAAACAGTTTCACACTGGCCATCCAGGGATTTCGAGAATGAAATCTCTACTGAGAGGCTATACATATTGGCTGAGGATGGACCAGGACATAGAAAATTTGATGCAGAGGATGTCAATTGGCAGCAAGGGATCCACCAGTAAAGATTCAACCCTGGCCAAAGATAGATGTCCCATGGACTCTATTACATATTGACTATGCAGGGCCCATAAATGGATCTTATTACCTGATTATTGTAGGCAGTTTCACTAAGTGGCCAGAAATTAAGTGCAAACATCCGACTGCAATAAAAGCACTTAATGAAATTTTTAGTCGCTTTGGACTCCCTAAAACTTTAGCCAGCAACTACGGAACACGGTTTACAGGAAGAGAATTCAAGGAATTCTGTACATTATTATCCATTGATCACATGAATGCCAGTATATCATCTAAGATCGAATGGACAGGCGGAAAAATTTGTGGACACCTTTAAGCAAGTGTTGAAGAAAAGTCAAGATGTGGAAAGACATATTCAAAAATTTTTGGTAGTATATACGAATATGACGTCAGGGTTATCACCAGCAGAGTTAATGTTTGCGAGAAAAATACGCTCTGTGTTTGACAGGCTGTTGCCTAGTCTGGCGAAGAAAACTGCTAGAAAAGAAAACCAGATGACTAAAGCGTATAAGCCACGTGATAGTTTTTTTCAAGAACTTTAGGACTGGAAAAACGTTTTGGGAAGGAGTGATAACCAAATAATTGGTCAGGTTATATATGACATAAAAGGGGAAAAATTTCCATGCAAAAGACATTGGAATCAATTGAGACCCAGACGCACTACAGAGGTCGCGGAAAATACCGAAGAGATTCCAATGGAAGTCTTGTATGACGCATTTCAAATTCCCTTTCCAGTAACATTCACCAATGGAGGTATCCCTGACCTCAAGGTCAGAGGTACCAGTGTTTCAAACGCCACTACTGCAAGGAGGATTGAGACAAAAAGACTTAGGAAAAAAGTCAATCGATTAAGTCCAGACCCTAAAAAGAGAAAGTATTGAAGCTAAATTTCATGGGAAAATTTAGCTGCGAGGGAGGTGATGTAATGAATATGGATACACCTGTGTTCCCCCTCACAGGAATATGATTGGCTGGCGTCAGCCTTAAATGCAGGCTGATATAGAAGTACAGGACGCCTATTGACTGCACCATTGGCTATCCTATTGCCTACATCTATTGCCTACATCTATTGACTTCACAGTCAATACAAGTACCAATTCCATTACTGCGAGATTGTTCTACTTGGTTACAGTAGCCTAAACTACTTAGCTACTTCGATTTAATATATCCCTTCCCGGGACACATCAGGAAGACATTTACAGGATGATACAAAATTTTAAATTAAAATTCTATTGTTTATCCTAAAACCGATTAATTACTTAAAAATCTTATTTCACAGTTATTTTTCTTTTTTGTTTTTCTCATTTTCTTTTTTCCTAATTATGTTTTTGATTTTTATCCTTTTTTTTTTTTTTTTTTTTTTTTCAAATTGGCTTTTTATTTTTTTATTTTTTTTTTTTTTTTCTCTTTTCATTTTTCCATTTTTTTTTATTTATTTTTTTTTTTCATTCCAGATGTTGGTGTTGATGGTGAGCCTAATTTGGAGATGACTAGCACCAGATTACTTGGCACCTCAATTAATTTTACTTGTTCATACACTGGAAACAATCAGTTCTATGCATCTTTATTCAAAGATAAAAACGAAATAGCATTAATCCCTACTTTTGGTTCGGACAACAATGTTAGTGTTCAGTCACCTTATGCCAATAGAATCACTACTTCAAATGGAAGGTTATTACCATCCAATGTATACTATTACAGTGTAGTTCTGTCTAAATTACAATGTGCTGATGAAGGCAATTATTTTTGTCGTGTAAATATTGCTGGTAACATTGAGGAGACAAATAAATCTCTTCAAGTCAAAGGTAAGTATTTCTTCATTTATTCGTTTTTCAAACAAGTGATCTACAATTAAAGTGACTGTTCTGGTACTTTTTTTTTTTTTTTTTTTTTTTTTTTTTGACACTGTGCAATATACTCTGATTTTTTGGAGAGGAATAATCGAAATAGTTTCTGATAAGGCATGAACTGTTGTCTTTCATCATTCTTCTGCAGATCTTGTCTTTTATAGATATTACATTCTTCATCTGTAGTTGTTCTCTTTCTCTAACATTTATTCTCTTTCATACATGATTTTTTTTTTTTTTTTTTTTTTTTTTTTAAGTTATAATTTGACTCTAGCAAAAAATATTTGAACTGTTAATGTAAAAATTTGTGTGAATGATTGCCAAAATTGAGCATTTCTTGCTGAACGATGGTCTGTTTGGGTAAACTCGTTATGATTGATAGCAATCAAATAAAGACATTATTCTATGATAATCAATTACGTATGCCACTAAATAATTACCATACTCAAATTATTTCAATCGTTTATTGAAAATTATTTACAATGATTTGATTATTTTAACCACTTTGGTTTATGACTTTCATGTAAGTTAAGCAAAAATAAATTCTCTTTTTTAATCAATTTCAACAAACAATGAAAAATGAATACTTTACAGCAATGAGAAATGAATCAACATTAACCCTATCAAAGGCTATTCAGTATCTCCTGAATATGGCAGGAAAGGAATCCTATATAATGAAATCTTTTTGAAGGACTAGGAGAGATAGCTAAAAACAAATTTAAAACCTACAAAGGACAGGAAACTGAAGAGCTTTGATCACCCATGTCTTGAAAGGACACTGCACATAAAAGAGGAATAAATCTAATGGATTTTTTCATTAGCCAATATATTAATAGACTTTATTGTAACAAAAAGTAACAATAGAATGAAGAGGTACATTGGCATGTACTGCAGTAATGACTAACAAGCTAATCTGATTGACTGTTACTATTAAGTAGTGGCTAACCTATACTTGTGCCAAGATGAAGCTCATCTCAGTAAATAACAAAGCAGAGTCCAATGAATATATCTTATTACATACAGAGCCTTGCAAGAGTTGGACAATTAACACTAGCCAAGAGGAATGGATAATATTAGGCATTATATTCCAATACAGAAATCAAAGCTGCTGGGGAAATGAAGAATTGCCGCCACATCTAGGCTGGCACTGCTCAATCCTCACTTTCCAGCCTCAATGGAGTTAAAAAAAAAAAAAAGTATTTGTGCAGCATTGTGGTTAATGATTTGCTTTCCATTCTTTTTGAAAATAATTCTTGCTCCCACCAGTTCAGACCTTCACAGCTAGAACCTGTCATGCCACATAAACATGGTTGACTCATCCTTAATTCCCTTCATAATTGAGCAGTAAATTCCATTCAAACAGCTTCTCCAAAACTCTTGCAATGTTGAATGAACTCCCAAGTGGATGCTTCCCTAATTGCTACAATATTAACCACTTCAAGTCGAGGGTTAACCATTATCTGTCCTAAATATCCTCATAATATACAACCCTTGTTCCCTCTCTGTAAGTCCTTAAAACCTTCCTATTTAGTCTCCCACTTTAGTGACTCTTTGACCTAGTATTTGGTGAGCAATAGTAAACAAGAATATTAGTCATGATTCAATCCATTTTGTACACCAAGCACTGACAGAAAGGATGTCTGGTTCGTTACCATGACAAGTAAATGATCAGGTACCAAATGTCTCCAAACAAAGCCAGAACTCTGTCCCAACTAAAGACAGGGTGGAATGATGAATTTTTATGCCTCATAGATCCCAAAATGGACATCTGTAGAATAAGATAAACAAGGCTTTGGGAATAAGAGTTTAATAAGATGTGGAGAGGGGAAGATTCTAATGAAAGAAATAATCGTGAAATTTCTCAAGCTAAGAACCTGTTTATTAAGTGATATTTTCTTTTTCTGTCGTCATCATCATCAGTGCCACAACCAGGTATAGTCATAGGGTCATCACAAAGTTGAGCACCTGACCACCTCCCTACACATGTCTCTGTTGCCTGGCAATCTCTAAGTCTTCACAAATCATATCCAGTCCATTTATTGACATTGTCAGCCAATTATTTCTTTTCTGCTTGCCTCTTTTGCCCAAGTTGGTACTTTGTAGTATGGCAGTGGAAAGATCGTTGTCTCTTACAATTTGGCTACACCATTTCAACTTTTTCTTCTTGACTGTCATTATGAGATTATCCAATAGGCTTTGTCTGATGATACCACATATTTGCATCATATGTGATGCAGTCTGCATAGGAGATACCCAAGCTGATTCTTGGAACATCTAATCTCTAATACTTGGGTTTTCAGAAACAGCTCAACTGTTAATGTTTAAGACTTAGAAATGTGCAGAAATACTGAGAAAACCAATGCATGTAACAACTTTGATTAAAGACCTATTTTGTCTTCCAGATGATTCTTTCTTTGGTAACAACTACCATTGTTTATGCTGCTCTTTCGAAATTATAGTTGATAGTTGTAACGAGTCCAGCTCAGCACAGGTCAAGTTGTGTTGATCCTTCTCTCTGCTCATCTGTGCAGATCACCTTTTATTCAGGTTTTTGACCACATATGCAAATTAGCAATAGTTCTAATAACACTAGAACCATGCATGCACTTTACGTAAATGGCAAATGGTAGCTTTGATCAATTATGAGATGCATCATAGCCTTTTAGCCACAGGTAGATTAAAATTTCTTGGTCCTATTTCACCACAGAAATTCTTTCTAGTCTGAAGTCTTTCTTTGCTGATGATTAAGCCAAGATATTTGAATTTCAAAATTTAACAATGGGTAAATTATTGCACTTGTCCTATTACTCCTGAAAGATTAGATTGCAAAATCCTTACTCAATTATCGGCATGCAGTATTGAATTCAGAAGAAGAAAAAAATCTGGGACAAGGCACAAAGCTTTACTTATGTTTCTAAGACTTGATATTTGTTGCATTCTGATCAGGTGCTTCATTTGTGTTTCTTTGGTAACATCAGTTTGACCAATGAACTCTAAGGTCTCAGAGTGTTAGGCAAAACATTTTACTTAACAAGATGTATATAATGTTTTCATTTTCAATTTCTATGTTTTATAGGCTTCAGTTTCTGTGAATAAAATCCCAGTCCACTTGGTGATGATTCTTTTTCATTGTCTCTTAGTTTCCTTTTAATTTTCTGTCTTAACTGGTTTTAGGTTTTTTTTCCAGGTATTGTAGTTTCTGAATTGAAAAAAAAAAGTGTATGCATTTACAGGAATTAACATCATGGAATTGGTTAACCAATTTTGAATCTCTCTCCAATGCCCCTCAGCTTTTTACTAATATTCTTGAGAAAATTAATCCAATTGTCTATCCTTGTGACCAGCCTAGTTATAGTCACCTATACTGTTATGCTACAATGTTTACTTCATGAGAATCTATTTGTGTATATGGGCAAGCTATTTTCTCTTGTTTAGAAAACAGCTGCTGTGTCCTGTTTTAGTTTTGACATGTGGCAAGAAAAACAAGAGTGGTAGCAGATTATAAATATCAAGTAATGGCTGATAGTTCAAAAGATCCAAGGTCAACTGCTTAAATACTCCTAAAAGAATGAATTCTACCGGTCTTGTGTACAAGTCAATTTGCTTAAGCCTCATGTAACGGAAATGAATTTCAAGCAAAGCAGCCAATCACTACTGATAATGGTACCCCACTCCCATCAATCAAAAGAAACAATGTTTAGTGTGTCATCTCTACAGAAGAAAAGCACATGGCTGTCCTGCCAGAATAGAACCATTATAAACCATAAAACATCTGGTTATGAAGAAAGTGTTTACCAGCTTCCCGACATGATAGTCAGGGCATTGGGCAGAACAGTGTTAGCTATGCGAATGATTTTTTGCTATCCAACCACTAAAGTTTTAGGTTCCATAATAGCAGGCACATGTTCTAGGAAGAGGGACCTTGGCAGTGCACCATGTTGACTACAATGGGATTGCCATGCGTTACCAATGATTTTTGTTATCCAGCGCCATTTCAGATTTGTTCGTCCTTGTTTGTGCTTCCAGTGTCTTGGCTGCATTCATCCTCTACAAATGTTTCCATATGGAAGTCTTGTCTGTGCTCTGCTTATTGTGAGCAAGTGTTTTATCCTGGTACTGCTAAGTTTTCCATCTCTCTTCATTGGCAGATACCCAAGCAAGAAGAAAATCCTTTGCCTTAATTGACTATGCAGGAAAATAGAGCTTCCAGTAATTCTTGTACTAAATGCCCCTCCCTTTTCCCTTTGACTGAAATATCAAAGATTTTTAGTTGCTTTTTGTATAATAGTTATCTAGAAACATTTTGTCATGCTGATCAGCCCACTCCTTATTTGACTTGTCTGCTGCTTTTATATCTTTTCTTTGTTTTATCATATTTCAAATTGCCAAAATTCAGAACTGAAATAGCTTTGGCTGGGATTCTAACTTGTGTACTGTACTACAGGAGCTGACTCTGTCATATAAAAATACCTCTTCCCTTTGGCCACAATCTCACTACCACATCGTTCTGGCATTGTTGTCTACTTTGTAAAATTTTAGATTTAGAGATTGTAACTTTTAAAAATTATGAAAAAAGTTCATCAAAAAAATCCAAAATAAGAAAAGGCTTTATATAAATCAATTCTTTCCATAATCAAGCAAAAGTCGGAGAAGTTTCTGTAACCATCTGTACATTCTTTTAAAAATGTGTTTATTAATCGAATGACCCTTATAGATGTTGATATGTCAGAATATTACTGTAGTGTACATTTTAACAATGTCAAATGAGTAGATAAGCATTCATAAGAAATGTTACTTTTCCTGTTCATATTAAGATATATATATATATATATATATATATATATATATATAGTCCCTTCCCCCTCTTATAACTCCACTTCTATATTTCAGCAAATGCTCATATGCCAAATCTGACAGCTCCAACAAATTTTGTTGTGCTTGGTGACACCGTGACCTTGAGCTGTACAGCAAATGTGGGCAAACCTGCAAGAAATTTGTCTCTGTGTGTCAGGCATGAAAATGGTTTCAATTGCAGTGAAGCTTCTAAACTGGTTGATTTGGGCAACTGTAGCTACAGTCAAACCGCAACAATGACTGTCAACATCACAGAGGATGTGAATCAAGCAACGTGTGAAGTTATTCCTTCAAATGGAAATTTGAAAGTGAATCAAAACTGGCAGGTGCAATGTAAGTAAAATCTCTCTTTGCCTCTGTCTGTCTCTGTCTCTCTCTCTCTTTGCCTCTCTGTCTCTCTCTCTCTTTGCCTCTGTGTCTCTCTCTCTCTCTCTCTCTCTCTCTCTCTCTCTCTCTCTCTCTCTCTCTCTCTCTCTCTTGCCCTCTCTCTTTGCCTCTCTCTCTCTTTGCCTCTCTCTCTCTTTGCCTCTCTCTCTCTTTGCCTCTCTCTCTCTTTTTGCCTCTCTCTCTCTTTGCCTCTCTCTCTTTGCCTCTCTGTCTCTTTTGCCTCTCTGTCTCTTTGCCTCTCTCTCTCTTTTGCCTTTGTCCTCTCTTTGCCTCTCTGTCTCTCTCTTTGCCTCTCTGTCTCTCTCTTTGCCTCTCTGTCTCTCTCTTTGCCTCTCTGTCTCTCTCTTTGCCTCTCTGTCTCTCTCTTTTCTGTCTCTCTCTGTCTCTCTCTTTTTGTCTCTCTCTCTCTCTTTTGCCTCTCTGTCTCTCTCTCTGTCTCTCTCTTTTTTTTCTCTCTCTCTCTCTCTCTCTCTTTGCCTCTCTGTCTCTCTCTCTCTCTCTCTTTTGCCTCTCTGTCTCTCTCTCTCTCTGTCTCTCTCTTTGCCTCTCTGTCTCTCTCTCTCTGTCTCTCTCTTTGCCTCTCTGTCTCTCTCTCTCTGTCTCTCTCTCTCTGTCTCTCTCTTTGCCTCTCTGTCTCTCTCTTTGCCTCTCTGTCTCTCTCTCTCTGTCTCTCTTTGCCTCTCTGTCTCTCTTTGCCTCTCTGTCTCTCTTTGCCTCTCTGTCTCTCTCTCTCTGTCTCTCTCTTTGCCTCTCTGTCTCTCTTTTTGACTCTGTCTCTCTCTCTCTCTCTCTCTTTTTGACTCTGTCTCTCTCTCTCTCTCTCTCTTTTTGCCTCTGTCTCTCTCTCTCTCTTTTTTTTGCCTCTGTCTCTCTCTCTCTCTCTTTTTTGCCTCTGTCTCTCTCTCTCTCTCTTTTGCCTCTGTCTCTCTCTCTCTCTTTTTGCCTCTCTCTCTCTCTCTCTCTTTTTGCCTCTGTCTCTCTCTCTCTCTCTTTTTGCCTCTGTCTCTCTCTCTCTCTCTTTTTGCCTCTGTCTCTCTCTCTCTCTTTTTTGCCTCTGTCTCTCTCTCTCTCTTTTGCCTCTCTCTCTCTCTCTCTTTTTGCCTCTCTGTCTTTGCCTCTCTGTCTCGCTCAATCACTCACACACACACAGCAAGTTTGCTAAAGCAAAATGTTGTTAGCATCCCCTTGCATTATATAGTGTAAATTCTTTTCATGGATGACTTTAAAACAATATTCCATGAACCTACGGCTGCAAGTGAAGAAATGTTTCAGTAAAATATTCTGTAACTTTTTAAAATAACTTTCAAGATGTCATTTGATTATTTATTTTATATTGCAAGGAATTTTTTTTTTTCTATTTTTTATCCAACTTCCTATAATCATAGAATTGTTTACCACTGATATTTATTCAGCTTAGGTTTACCCGATGCAATAGCACCTTGTGTTGTGAAACATTCACTGAAAATTTCACTCACAAACAATATTAATAATTTTCAAGATTAGTTTAATTATTGCTTAATTACAAGGTATTTGCTTGTCACCTACTTAGCTCCTTTATTTTTTATTTATTTATTTTTTTTTTTTTTTTTTTTTATACTACTACTACTACTAAAGTTTGTAAATCTTTCACTCACAGATCCTGTCCTTGCTATAAAACTTGTTCCTGATGATCTGGTAGTTACACTAATGGAAGGAGAATCAAAGACCATAGCTTGTGAGGCTCGTGGTAAGCCACCTCCTTCATATAGATGGACTTTTCAGCCAAAAGTGGGTGCTGTTGACACAAACATCTGGCCAAAAGATCAGCAGAATATTTACTTAGGATATGTTGACATCAGTAATATGGGCATTTATACTTGTGTTGCAAGCAACAGTATCCGGAATGTGACCCACAACATGACTAAATCCATTACTATTAACATTGGTAAGTACACATCTCTATTTATTTATTTTTTTCCTTTACTTGTGTATATTTGTTTCTGAGCAGCCATCAAACAATGCCACTCTCTTCTTGCACTGTTCTATCCTTTAAGCCGATCACAATTTAGACTGGCCGATTAGTTGCTGGGCACATTTAGTTCTTCTCTTTTGCTTACACAAGCTTTTTAGAAACAGAATCCAAAACAGTTTGCAGATAATTTTTTAAATCTACTTCACCTGATTGAAGACTGGATTAAATCCAACTGATGCCCTCAGCAGAAGTGTTTGAATATTTACAATATGTTTGGAGTTTTTTTTGTGGGGGTCCAATTCAGTCTCCCTATATCTATAATCTATGTATATGACATGTATCCATATGTCATACTTATGACATGTATCCATATGTCATACTTATTCACCCTATGGATCTCGCCTAAAATTTAGTAAGAAATATTTAAATTAAAAAAAAAACAAAAGTGAAATGTTGTAAGGTTTGATTTCTTTTTGAAAATGTTGCACTGCAATGGATTACTGCTAATAATTCTAGTCATCATCAGAATCTGTGTTACTTGTCAATAGAAATATTTGATTAAAGCTTTTTATTTATTTTTATCAATTTTCTTTAAAGATTTTATGTTTATATTACTTTTTACAAATAAAACAAAGACAAATTTTTACAAATTGTAATTCTTGCCATGGTGACCTCAGTTATTGTCATGGGGTTCTTATTTTTAAGGGTCCTCCAAGGCAATTTTTGCCTGCCCCGTCTTGGGTTAATCTCTTCCCTGTTATTATTAAATGTAGTTTTAAGGTAAGCTATATTTATGGGTAAAAGTACTCAATATCAGTGATAGAGCGTATGTAAATATAATAGTAGGAACTGATGTCAACACTGAATAATGAGTCCGTTTCATTCTTGAACAACCATCTTCAGGCCTGAAGATTGCTTTCAAGTGTGAAACCATATCGCCACTTAGTGTTTACCTCAGTATCCACTCCTTTCATATATATGATAAGAATACAGTTTTAAGGTATGCTATATTTATCAGTGCTCAATATCAGACATAGGACATATGTAAAGATAAAAGTAGACATTGAGGTCAACACCCAGCAGCAACAGTTTTTCATGCTTATACGCAATCCTCAGGCCATGTGTGTTCCTTTCTGCTCAGCTATTTATATATACAGGTCAGTGATGATAACAAACAACACTACACTACAAATAGCCCAAGAACTGCATCTGGATCCACAATTATTTCCACCCTATAGCCCCTAGAATAATTCAAAACACCTGTTACCACCCACCAAAACAACCATTAGAACAATACAAAAGATTACCAACAACACATCATTGACCTGTATATATAAATAGCTGAGCAAAAACACAGTACACATGGCCTGACAATTGCATATAAGCATTTAACACTCTCGCTGCTGGGTGTTGACTTCAATGTCCACACACAGTTGAATAACACTGGTTAGCAAGTTAGGCATAATTACTTTACTGATTACTTATTTTTACTGATGTTAGTTGAAACAAAATGAAAATTTATTTTTGCTTACCAATTTACAGCCATGTCTTCCATAGCTAACTCACTTATTAACATATAAAGGATATAAATTCATGGGTTAGCAGTATGTAGATAATGGCTGGTGGAGCAACCTTTTCATGGAAATGCCCAGACTTACATTTCTGCTCTGTCATCTGATGAGTCAATGTGAGCATCAGCAAGTTTGATCTTGGCAAAGTGAGCCAGAGAAATAAGTCCTTAATGATTGTGACTACTGACAACACTGATTTAAATCACATCTACATGCAGGGAGATATTAGACACCTATCTGGTAAGTCTGTTTAGCATTCTTTAGCTTACATGAAACAGAATGCAGAATAACCCTGACAAGGATCCCAGGTGGTTGACCCAAAAATATACATTTTATCTACAAAAAAAAAAATGTATGAAAAATAATTTAAAATTATTTTCTATTTTGGTAGGGGGGAAAAAAATTAAGGTATTTATCTAATTTGACTTTAGGCCATATGTTTGTGTGTGTTGTTGTTGTTGTTTTTTTTTTTGTTTTTTTTTTTGTTGCACTTAGTAATGATCTGCAGAACTAGATTACTGATCACTGCTTCAAGTGAATGTGTTCCAGCCTAAAAATGGAAACTATGTTCAAAAGAAAATAATTCCTTTTTTATATAATGTAAGAAAGAAATTATATAATATTCACTTTTTTTAATAATATAAATTTAGTGAAATGTTAATGAAATGTGATTGAATAGTTTTTTGTTAAATTTGTGAGATACCTATGGTTGTGTTTACATTGTTTGATTCATTTACAAAACATTTTCAGTAAATCTAACAGAAAATATACTTTTGTCAGATTGATATTGTCTTTTATTCAACATCAGTATTTAAATATTAGTATTCTTCCTAAAAAAAAAAAAAATCTTCAATATTATGTTGTCAGATTGAATTACTTTTGAAAGACATGCACTATTGAATTTTGAGTTTCACTACATCTAACTTAGAATAAGAAAGTTCATTTTGAAAATTTACTAACCCTGGGCTTTCAAATATAGCCCTTTCACTACCTATCCTGGATACAATTATAAACTGCATCCAGCAGCAAAGCCTCTGATTTTGAGTGCAGAACCACCTTAAATGCTCTCTTAAATGTTCTCAGGACCATCCTGACCAGGGGTCATAGCACCTGTTAGGGTATCAGCTAGGGACAAATAGTGACCCCCCCCCCCGACAAAAAAAAAAATATGGGGTCAAAACGTTATAAAAAATAAATTTTTATAGTAAAAATACCAGCAATAAGTTGTTTTTTTTTTTTTTTTTTTTTTTTTTTTTTTTTGATATTACCAACAATACATTTGATTCTTGACAAAAACCCTCTTTACAAAAATACGTCAATGAAGCCTGATATACAAACTGATTTCTTATAAAGTATATATATTCTATTCATACAAACCTATCCTAAAAATCTTGACAGCATTAAATAAGCCATTGAGGTGTTGATATGCCATAAAACAAAATAAACCAAAACAAAAATACATCAATGAAACCTGATCTACAAACTGATTTCTATTCCTATGAATTTATTCTAAAAATCTTCTCACCATTAAATAAACTATTGAGGTGTTGATATAGCATAAAACAAAATAAACCCAAACCTATTAACTACTTGTTATCTCAATCCTACAAACTACTTCAACATTTGCTCAATGTATAAATGTGGTCATAGTATGAGAAGACTTACTTGTAAAATTAGTAATGCATGGCTTGTAAGAAAATTATCTAAGTGATACATAAAATGTCCATTTAACCCACTGTACTCAGAGTATCTATTTCCATGTGTAACACTCTGGCATAACTAAATGTTGCATTAGAAATAAACTGGTAAGTACTTGTACCTTGATTTTAGAGTCCATAAAATATTTCGAAACAACATTCTTTTCAGTATAGTACTGTTCAGTGTTGTTAGGAACAAGGTAAATCTAATGGCTGCAAATTAGTCAAGTCTAAAGTTTCAGTGGCTTAACCATTGAAACTTTAGACCTGGCTAATTTATACAAGGTCAGATTTGTGACACACCAGTAATTGTTTCTGAAACAAACAGTAATTATTGCTTAACTGTTCCTCTTTGTTTCTAATGTTTGTTAATTAAAAGGTTACAAAGTTTATAGAAAAATATTAGAATTGCCCACCAAAAAAAAAAAAAGCCTTGTTTGTATTTTTTTCTTTTTCTGTTACTGAAGTCTTATTTGAAAACTCTACAACAGATTATTTAATGTCATTTTTAACATCCAGTGAATGAAATAAAATGTTATCTAACATTCAAAGTTGATACACTTGGAGAATGAATAAAAAAATTCACCAGTACATGATGAAAACCTCCCCCACTTTAATCTTAATTGAATAAAAGATGGCAGTCATTTATTTATATATATATATATATATATATATATATATATATATTTTTTTATTATTTTTGTTTTTTTTTTTTTGTGGGGGGGTTGTCATGGTTCATCTACTTTTTTGAGAACTTTATTAAATTAAAATTGAATTCTACAATCTGTGAAAATATTGGTTTTATTTCAGGATTAATTTCCTTAATTCTTCAGATACATTCTTAAATTATTTTTTAAGAATTTCTTTCATGATCTAAAAAAGTTTTTATAACATGATGAGAGAAAGTGGAAAATTTTATTAAAAAGACCTTTCACTGGAGAAGAGGGACTTTGAGGAGGATACGTGGATATCATAAATCAAATTAATTACCCTTGCTTATTGCCTCCCAATGTCCATGCTTGGAGAGTGTCTGTCCGACTGTGAGCTTTTTTTTTTCTTTATCTGTATTAAAGATGTTTGATATTGTAGGATTTTAAATTGCGGTATGTATGTTTGTGTGTATATATATATATATATATATATATATATACTGCAGAGGCTTTTGTTATAATATATATACCTGTATGCACTTGTACATCAATCTTTCTTATATCCAAAGACATCTCAGATGATCTGAACATTAAAAACACCTAATTTGCATGCAGCTTGCTGAAATCCAGCTACACAATTTTATTGTTAATAAGGTTGAAGTTTTACATCTGAAATTAGAAATAAATTCATTAATTGTTCCCAAAAGGAAGTTTCATTGATTAGGAAACAAACTTTTTAATAAAGTCTTGATTTAAAAACATTTGAAAAAAATGTTTGGAAATTTCCATCACAACATATGCCACTGGCTGCATTAGTAAAAGGTTTTTGTTTCAGACTACAATATTATGGGTTTCGAATTGCATGAAAATACCTAATGCATAAATGACATTGTCTTAGAAGAAAATATCTTTATTGCCTTACCAGTAATTAAAAAGGTGAATTAAGGGTTTCAATAAAATGTCTCTTCAGAATTTCCAACAAATTTATACAAATTAACCATTTACTAATCTGGCATCATTGGAACCTTGTAGGGTATCAGTTAAGTGATGATTAT